CTGGCGGTTCTACAGGTCGCAGGTTCAACTCTTCGAGTTGACGCAGGTATTGTACACAGGTAAGTTGGGGAACTAGGGATCGAGCCCTGGGATCTGCCTCAGCTACCACGAATTGGTGAATACCGTTTCAAATCGCTGAACCAGAATCAAAGTCCAAATCCCTCTTCTACTGCTTGGCAACCAGAGGTCCTCTATAGCCATGGCCTCCTTCTTTGGCCTGCTTCTTCTTCTTCTTCTTCTTCTTCTTCTTCTTCTTTTTTTTTTCTTTTTTTTTTTTTTTAATAACGTTTGGATTATGGACCCGTATCGTTTGTTTTTGAAAATTTCGCAGAATTTTGCACCGAAATTGCCGGCGAAAACGGCGAATTTTTGGCCCTCTGTTAACCATCTTTCCCTTCCAGCGGCGCTCTGAATCCCAGCGCCCGCTCAAGCAGCATGACGCCCAAACTTGCATACCACAAATGGAGAGAAGCACTTCGCTCCTCCTGGAGATATAGTGGCCTACCTGCCTCTTGGGCAGTGGCTTCAGGCCGAGCGGCCTCCAAGCAACCGGTATCTCCTCCCTTTCGGAGGGAAACATCATTGCAGGCTCTGATATCATCCGCACAGGCCCTAGACTCAGGCTACTTGGACTGGTACCCGCCTAGACCTAGCCTACCAGCTACTGGGCCTCTCAAAACACTGACTTTTGCCTACTTCTGCTTGGCCTCCAGTTTCCGAGACATCTACCGCTACTTGAGCGGTAGCGGTACCTGCTACTTGATTGTTTTTCCCGGCTGTTCTAAGTTTTGTGGGTCTACTCCCGCTGCTTGAGTGTTTTCCCCGCTGCAATCCTCGAAGTCACGGCCATAGAGTACCGGCCCCTTTGGGCCTTCCAAACAAGCAAGTGCCCTGCCGGGCCACACATACACTCAGACCGACAAGCACTCAGGCAGGCACACGAACCAGCAAGCCCGCACGCACACACACACAGACTTAGAAAACTCAGCAGACCGCGGGAATCTCGGCAAGGCATTCATTCCAGCGCCAAAACTCAGAAATCAGCACAGATTCAGCAGTGTTCTCAGTCTGTGTTTTGGCGAGTCATTACAGTAGTGTGATTAGTCCTTCGGTCCTCCTTCCTCACTGTCAAAAGCACCAGGGACAATAAGTCACACGAAGCATGAGATGGTTGCGGGGCCAGTCTCAGTGGTCATAGGGGATCGTAACTGAAGCGATGCTGGTCGGTGCTGGAGCAAGGTAGTGCAACTCTGTAACCTAGCCTGATGGGAGCATGAGGCCTGGAAGAGCTTCGGTTCGTGCTGAAAACAGCCATGCTGGTGGTGGTCGAAGGTGGATTGAATAGGTTTCACCTATCTCATTCATGGTTGGGAGGCTTGTTGACACACATCTTCTGAATGTTTCTGAGTTTTCTCTTTTCTTCAATTGTTCTTAGCCAAAGCCAGGTAATGGTCCCGGTAGCTCATTTTTGTATTCTGATAAGCGACGCTGGGCCCGGTTCCCAGCCGTGTTGCTCCCCACGAATAGATTGGAGCATCGTCCCACCGTAAAAAAAAAATTAAAAAAATTAAAAAAAAAAAGGTTCCTACTACCTAGTATCATAATCATCATCACAGAGAAGAGGTGAAGATTCTGCAAAATGAAACAGGCTGGGCTGCATGTGCACTGGATGCCGTGTGCAGTGGGCGGTACTATTCAGGCTGGGTACTGTGGGCGGTGCTATGTGCAGTGGGTGGTACTCTGTGAGGCGGGTGCTGCATATGGTGGGCGATACTATGTGTGGTGGATGGCGGTATAAAAGGTGGTGATAGTACACAGGCTGGGGGCTATGCACAGCAGGTATTACTATGTGGGCTGTGTTATGTGCATGGGATGGCAGTATGGAGGCTGTGTGCTCTGTGCATTGGGTAGCACTGTGCAGACAGGGTGCTATGTGTGGTGCAGCGAATGGCACTATGCTTAACAAGTACAGCACACACGTAGACTTTTTTTTTTTTTTTTTTTTTTGGTAACAAGGCTCCAATCTATTCATGGGGAGCAGCATGTGCTGGGAACTGGCCCAGCATCCGATATGGAAATTTTACATAGAAGTTGCTATGTTTGAACCTTGAATGCAACCTAGGGTACGATTCTCCACTCCCAGCCCAAGCAAAAACGTTTTTTTTTTGTTTTTTTTTTTGTTTTTGAAGCCCAGCACAGACCGTTTTGCAGCCTACCGGTAGGGTCGACCGGTCGGCGGTCTGCCGACCAGTCAGTAAACAGTTGTCCACTTTTTTTTTCTTTTCAATCTGACTATGGGCCTGTAGTATGCCTTCTG